TCTGAGAACACCTTTCCTAGCTAGCCTTTCCTAGCTAGCCTCACGTCCCAACCAAAGCTGCCATTTCCACTCCAACCACAGCCTTTCGGAGAAACTGATCAACTGGAGGCTAGGAGGAAAGTTAAAAAAACAAACACAAAATATTTCTGGGTTTTCACAGAACAGAAACCGTCTTGGTTAACTCTGGTTAGCAAAAGGCAACCGCTGCACCATACCGACAAAGTATAGCAGCAGGCAGAGCCTTTCTTGCTGTTACAGCACCTACACATGGCACAGTGCATTCACAGAAGGGGAAAAGCAATAACCCTCCAAGCCCACATCATCCTGCACGAAGGTTCTCCTCCTGGGAGGATCCCATGGCGCCCAGCACACCTCTGAGCTGGGAGGGCCTGTAAAATCTGCCCATTTCAGCTGAGCAGTGAAGTTCTCCATCCAGTTCAGAGATCTTGTGCACCAAAGGTCAGCTCTTGCTTTCAGCAGGGCCGTACAAGTGTGTCGATGGAAATATTGCCAAAACCAGCTGCCCGAGAGGGAAGTGAGGCCATCCAGGAGCTCCATCCAGGCAGCTACTTTGCTTAACCCTTTCAGTTACCAGCCTCCACCAATAGAACATATCCTATGTAGCTGCAAGCTCTTGGAGTAAGCATGATCCCTTTGTAGCACTCCACACTGGACATTTGCAGAAAAATCACTGTGCCACAGAGAGCACCACCGTATCCTCAGCTTGACCAGAATCCGGAAGGAGACAGTGAGTTATTAGCTGCATGGAAGACGCCTGCAGGGAGCAGAAAGAGCAAAGGAGAACAGAGATGACAGGTTTTTGGCACTGAGCCACAGCACTGATTCAGTCTGTTTTGTGACAACAAAATGGTGCATTTCCAGCTGTATTGCATTATCAGGGAGGAAGGGCTGGAAGATTGGAGAGAGCATCAAGAAATCTAAAGGTGGTCACTGAGGAAAAACTGCCTTGCACATGGCAAATCCATGGCCTCAAGCAGTGGTCACCCCTGTCTCAGTTGCAGCTAAGCAGACTGAGTTACCCTGGGCCAGAACATCCCTGGTTGTTCAGGATGCTCATCCCCCACCAGAAACCACTCCATAGCACCCTCTTCCAACATGCTGATGTAAGCACATACCACCAATTTTTGCTCAGAATTGATACCAATTACCTTCAAGCTCCTCTTGAAGCCCTGGGTGACCGTCATCACTTGTGCCAAGCAGCAGAAAGATGCTCAGCCCACATGCCCCGGCAGCACCAGCTGCTGTGCTACAAGGAGACAGGGAAAAAGTAAATGATGCTACAGACCCGTGCTCTAGAAGCAAGCCCACCTCTCTCTTCCCTGACACACTACACTCAAATCTTTAATGAGCCCTTCATCCACAGAACCTGTTCTCAATATAGGAAATAATTTACATGCATCTTCTCTGACAAGGAGAACAAGAGATTGAAGAGTGATGTTTGCCTGAGATGACAGTTCTGTTGCAGAGCTCAAAATAGATCCCAGCTTTCCCGCAGACACACATAAAACTTCCTACAGCACACTAAATCCAGGTTAAATACGCAAATGAACATCCATAAGAGAATCTTCTTTCCTGTGGCGTTTCCTTCCCAAAACTACAGCCCATCAGGTCATGTCATTTGAGAAGCACGTAGAGACCAACCATTTCCAAAAGCACGAGAAGAAACGCAGCCCTGCTCTCACGTCACAAGTGACAAACCTTTACAAAACGATTCGCTTCCCTCCCCTCCTACTCACTCGCGTTCCAAAAAACATTTCGTTCAAAAGCAGCTCTTTAAAGAGGTTATATAATAAATGATTTGTACCATGAGACTGGCTAGTTTTAGCCCAGCTACTTAGATCATAGATGCTCCTGGCCATCTCACTTCCCTGCCAGAAGAGGCAATACCACAGCACTCTGGTGCTTTAGCCGATTTTTTTTATGAGCTCTGCTGTGGTATCTGTCCAATTCCAGCTCCCAGACAGGAAGGGAAGTGGGCAGTGCTTTAAGATTCTTACTTTTTCACAGATCACAGTTATGTTTAACATGCTCCATACTCATAGCAGCCAAAAAGCCATTTGCAGCAGCGCCAGGCTCCCCAGGGGCCAATCTCGGCACAAAGAACTGTTGCTAAAAGTTTAGTGAGGTCATAGGTCTGGCAAATGTAATGGCAACAAACTACTTTTTTAAGAACTTGGCTTCAAGCATGCCTTAGAGATCCAAAACAAAATCCTTAACTCTTTGTAGTCTCCCCAGGCGCAGAGTCCACTGCAAGCTGCTTTCAAGGTGGAGTATATCCTCACAGTGTAGAAGCAAAGACAGCCCAAGCACAGGCAGCACGCTCCTCCTCACTTGGCTGTTCCATTGCTCCCCAAGTTAAACAGCTTCACGAATCAGTTGCTGCAGATATTCCCAAGTTAAAAGAAAAAAAAAATTTAAAAAGATCATGAGTGTAAAAATAGAAATGGATTTAACTCACTCCAGAGACTACTCTCTCCTCAGTGCTCCAAAACCATTGTGCTTAGTGGACAGTTTATGAAGTCTAAGGATAAAACAGGCAATAGGATTTGGGCTCCTCAGGTATTTTTTAAAGTTATTGCTCAAGGTTTAAGCACAAGGATCACAATTTAAATACTGTACTTTCCACACCTTGCCTGCCTCTTGAGCAGCAGCCACCCTTCAGGAGTACTGGTACACCTTAAGTCCTGATATCCTACTCCAGGCAAGAGACTGTAAGGAGAGGAAACGAGAGAGCAAGGTGCAGAGATTCAGGACAAGGAAATGATTGAGATAGAGAGCACCACCACATGAAATTTCCTTCAGATTACCTTTCTTGCCACGTAAATCATAGAGAGCTCGTCAGAAACCCTCTCCTCCTGGCTCTCCCCACCCATGCACCCTGCGTTAACGCTACAACGTGTTGTATTGATCACAAGTGCTTTTAAGAAGTTGTCCAGAACTTTCCCTAAATCCCATTTGCCCTTTAGCACCTGAACATCTCTTCTGTTTTAGAAGCACAATTAAATCTTTCAAATGGATTCACTCAGAATTTCTGAAAAGAAACATATCTATATTAAATGTGCCCAAGTCATTTGTATTGCCGTTCTCCCTAAAACACTACCTACAAACTGCTTCTGTGGGCTCTAAGACATTAGAAACTACATATTAAGAGGAAGCAAAGGTTATTTTTAAAGCAAAGCTTAAAAACTGATGAATGGTGGAATAGCTTAAAATTTTCTTCTCCCCTCCACACCCCCACCCCAAAGACCAGTCCACAACACTGGGGATCAAGTTGATAAATTAGGCTCTGGCAACTCCCTTTTGTCATCGCTTCAGCAGCAGCAGATCAGGGCAGGAACAGCCTTCTTGGAGCAGCACATTGGCTGCACACACTTTCGAGTCCCCTCCTCTCCACCCACCCATATCACAACATAAGCTCATTTCAATGAAAATGTCACTCTCGCAGCAGAAAGCCACTGAAACCTTATAGCAAGAGCACCAAAGAATACCACTGAACTGATTCCATTAGTGTATCTTAAAAGAAAATAATGATTTATCAGACTCGGAGCTCGGAAACAGAAAACAAACAACAAACAGTCTGTGGCAGAGCAGAGAGAAACTCAGATTTACAATCAATCCAATAAACATGGAAATGAGAAAGCTCTCATTCTCCCACAAGTGAAAGAGTGAAATACTGTAATAATGCCAACAAGGGGTAGTTAGAGCTGTAGAAAGTACCAGGAGGCAAGGAGACCAGAAGCTTCCTGGTGATGGCAGGGGAATGCAAACAGCTTCACCGAGCTGGGACAAGGAGTATTAACACTATCAAGACTCTGTTCCAGCAGACACAGACTGCAACAGAAACAGGTGCAAAACAAACAAAAGCCTCCCTGTTTTGAAGAGGTCAGACAGTGTGAGGAGGGTTTCATTTGCCCTAAGGAGCTCAAGTTCCTACAGCTCATTTCTCCAGGAATGTGGGTAATAGTTTATCGCAAGAAAGGAGACCTCAAGTGTGAGCAGAAGAGGTGCTCGAGAACAAGATCTCCCAGAAGTCCAAATTCTCATGCAGTTACATATTGAACATCTGCTAAAGTCCTGAAAAAGTCAGGAGGAGCAATGAGAGGAGCAGGGTGAGAGCATAATTGCAAGTGATGAGCTGATCAACTTTGAAAACATCTGCAAGACGATCAAAAGTTAAAGGCAGTCTAGTGCAAGAAGAGGGAAGTTCCATGATGGAGCAAACATTCTACTATTTGGTTGCCTTTCCTCTCCCTCTATCCTGACTTTAAGAAGCAGACAAAGCAAAATCTGCTTGGAATCCACCCTGCATCTGACCTGCCAGGGCCTCTCTTCCAGCCTCAAGCAATCGTTTTTCACGCAGTGCACAAGGGAGCATGTTAAATCCCACCACTGGATTGAATCACCTCTGCACAAATACCATCCCGGGTCTGAAGCACTCTGTCAGGTTGGCCAGACACCACCTGGGTCTCGGGTGAGACAGACCATCCTCCAGGTGCCGGTTTTGCTGGGACCTTACCTGCTCACTGCCACCTGAGACTGGAGGTGAATTCCCCCTGCCCAAAGTACCCTGGGAGCTCTTTGCTATTCACCTGTGGCCAGCACACACACCTCAGCAACAAGCCTAATACAGCCTGTGCCACACATTTGGCAACTCCAAGATGCTCAAGCATTTTAAAACCAACTCGGCAGCACCAAAGGCAGGAGAGATGCAATCCTCCTAGTTAGTACTCAGAACACACGCGGGCTGCGACACGTCTGGAAAACACAGGAGATCGTAATCATTATCCCACACTTATGAATAAAATATTCCTTTTATTTTAGTAAAGTAACAAAGCTTATTTGCAGATACAACAACTGTACATTCCAATTGAAAAATAGATTGCACTCAAAATTGTTAAAGCAAGTCACACGCAGTCTGTTAGGAACACAAACAACCTCAAACCTCCCAATGCCTTCAGCTCCTGTCTTCTCTCAGGAAATCAGCTCATTTTGTTCTGAACAATTTTCTGCTGATTCTCAAGACATTCCTTCAGCTTGTCTTCAGTGAGTGTCAGCCTCTGCTCCAGGATGGAAACTGTCTGCAAAACACAACGAAAGCTGCTGGTGAGCCACCCACAAAGACAAGGTATGCACTGTACTCTGGGTGGATAACGAAATGCTAAATTCACAGGAGTATTCTGAGGTATTTCAGGGCTGGAACTCCAGTACCGGCATTTTAGCAGGGCAAGGCCCCACACAACTTCAGAGGCTGGCAGACACAAAGCTCCCCAGCAGACAACACTGAGCAGCTGTTTTGGCACTCAGTGCTTTCAAATCCTGTTCTGCACTTCCTCTCATGGGCAAGATCTGTCCTTCCAATTTCACGAGCCAACAGATGCTCTTCTGCTAACAAGAGACAGAGGTTTTGAACACTCTTGCCCAGGTTTAGCTTTGATTTTTGTCTCTCTACTTCCAACTCTTCCTCTATTCCCAAATGCTCTCTGTTTGCTGCAATTATAACACTCAAAACTTGCTGGACAAGCACAATGACAGGCAAGAAAACCCTCCCAGCATAAGGCAATGCAACAGGCGACAGGGGGAACCGAAACCCAAAGATGCAATATCTATCTGAACATAATGCCTAAAAATATTTGTGTAATCCAGTTACCCCACAAAGGATCATTATATCTTTCTCCTCAAGCTGAAGTCATCATGTACAGGATGCACAGGAAGAACATTTTCATCACGTGGCATTAAAAGCTTCTGCTGAAAACCTTTTATCGATCACTCCGAGGTAACCAAGGGACCTAGCTATGCAAAACCGCTTTCAGCTTCCAAAGACACCGGAATAGCTGATAATAGGCGGTGATGATTTAATGCTTTAATATCCATAAACTTATCAGCAACAATCAATAGCTTCACATTTTGAGCATTTTTACTGCATAAATAACATCCTCTGTTAAAAACAAAGGATGTTGAGAACCTTGGACTTTATTAAAGTAATTCAAATAAACTTGGACAACTGCTGTTTGTATAGAAGTTATACATAGAAAGCCTTTTAATAGCACATTTCGTAAGCACATCTCTAAGAGCCTGACAAAAGAAAGGAGGTCTCATTATCCCCATTTTACAGCTGGGGAAACGAAAGCACAAAGAGAGGAAATAGCTTGGCTAAGGCCACTTGAGGCTAGGAAAAGTCTCCCGTAAAATGATTTGGGGAACGAGACAAATATTGGGGGGGAACAGAAAACAGACATAGTAAAAACACCACCAAGCACTACGGCAAAGCCATCTTGCAAGATGGTGCATCAACAAAATCAGAAAGGGCTGTGCAGCACAGCGTTTACCATAATGCACTCTTCTCTTGGTCCCTATAGTTCAAAGCTTATTTCTGCTGAACATGTACCCCCCACCTGCAACAAGGCAGCAGAGCTAACTCCTCCTGCCTAATGCAGCATTACTGCAACTGTAGAAAGCTTCACCTGAAAGAAAAAACCCTGCATTGCTTAAATATTCCCACAGGCTACATCACTAGCATCGTTTGAGTTTCTTCCTCCTCTATTGCCACGTCTTTGAGGCACAAGAACTGCAGTACACAGAGAACCAGAAGGAAAGTTGTGGAGCCAGCAGGTACCATCCCAGGTGGCCCAGAGCCTCCTGTCTGTTCAAAAGAGAGAGGAGTTCATCTTTTCCACATCCAGCTGTGCTATTGCCTAGTGTCTGTCTTACAGAGGTCAGGAGTAAAGCCACTCAGAGCAGAACACAGCAGGCTGAGGTTTACAGCAAAGATCTTATCCTGCAAGCAACCAGACAGAGAATGGAAAGCAGTAGGGATCCTGGCTTTTTCCTTTAAAAAAAAAAAAAAAAACACCAAAAAAACCCCTGGGAACTCAAGACTTCTTTAAAAAGGAAGGTGAAACATTGCATCAAATTTCCTTTAGAATGATAATCAACTGAATTAATGTCCTGGTCACACTGCCCTGCTAGAAGCAAAGCCCAAGATTACTCGAGGTTCCTCCACTCCATGTCTTATTGCCACCATGGTCCTGCCGATAGGAGTTAAGCACTGTTACACACAGCACCGTGGGACTACGCGCAAGTAAAGCAGATTTCAGCAAGTGTTGAATTTGTGAAAAAGCTGTAAGGAAAATGTTTATTGGAATGGAAACTGCATTTAAGTATAAGCAGAAAGTTTGTAGCGAGTATTTCTTGGAAACTAAAGTGGAAAAGCAGCAGTCAGAAGTGAAATCCAGGAAGTCTGGAGTAGGAACTGATGACTACAGTCCATTTAAACTTGGATATATGATGCCCAAAATACACAGGGCAGCTGACATTCTAGGAAGGTAAGGGAAAGCACAAATACTCCCCAGATGCCATTAGCGCTATATGGTAACTTAGACGTAAAAGAAAATCTCCTTTTTTAGCAGCTGACAGCTTTACAACATTTCCAATTTGCTATTTATAAAGCAAGTACTTATTGGTAGGCAAATTAAACTGCATCCATTCAACTCCTGCACATTTTTGCTATTGCTTTTCAGAAGACAAAAAAACCAACAATTAAGCCAAGGAGGAAAATACTGTTGGCCAGATTCAGTCAGGATTCACTGGAGCCACACTCAAGCTGTTTCTCTACGACAGGATCTGGGCTTCCTGTTGCGCCAGGGGCACAGCACATGTCTCCTTTACACACCTGGGAGTAAATGCCCACTAGTTTATTGAAATCTTGGCTCAAACTGGCAAGAGGCTAACAGCTTAGGCATAAACGAGAAGGAAGAACAACGATTTTAAGGAGTATTTCTCACATTACAGTAATATACCGAACATTAACTATGTGCATCAGAACAGAACATAGAATTTTTCACACAAAAGAGAACTCACGTAAATCACTTCTACCAACACTTCCTGCAACACTTGTCTTGATTCATCTTCGCAGATAGCCTAGAACAAACCTGCTCTTCTCTTTGGAAACACTACTCAAGAACTCTGTAGAAAAAAGATGCCTCCTATTTATTTTTTCTAAATTTTGGGCATTATTCAGCTCCACCCACCCCCAGGACGCCTAAAGTGAAGCATCCAGTAGCCACACTTGCTTACACTATGACAAGCCCCCTATGCTATTCCTCCATGCTATTCCTCCCTCAACCCAAATTTGTGATTTGTGATGCTGTTCCAAGTCCCTTTCATCACTAACTTTTCCTTAGTCTCCATTAAACCTTTCCCACCCTGACTAAGCAGCAGAGACAGGTTAAGAATCAGTAGCCTCAGGGCTGAGGCTTTTGCAGGGGCCCTGGAGGGGCAGTCAGTCCTGCCTCTTTCGAGGACTACAGATAAGAGGAGCCAGATGCTAACTGAATGCCGACAGAAACCCGTTCTACAACTGCCTAAGGAACCCTCAAAAGCAGAGGCCAGAGCAAGCCTCTCCAGCAGGGGTGGGAGTCCCTGCCAGGAGGGAGAGATCCACCGACAGGGACAGTTGCTCATTAACTAAAGCTGTGCTTAACCTGGAGCTGGGAGCACGGCAACAGTGGAAGCCCAATGGGCTCACCCCACTAAGGGGCGACTGCTCCGCCAGCGAAAAGGCACAGCTCCTGCCCTGCAGAACCCCACATTGCTAGAGGTGTCCCCAGCCACAAAGGCTTCAAAGACTTCCCACACCCCTGCCCTGCCACACAATCTACCTCTCAAAAGATGCAAATCACTCAGCTAAATTAACCCAGCTGTTGGTACTCAATGGCTGAACAAACATCTATATTCATCTTCAAGGTCTGCTTGTGAAAACAAGTTGTGGGAAGTGTTGAGTATTCTTCCCCACCAAGGGATAACGGAAGGTGAAGGTCCTATGGACCTGCAGGGAGACAATCAGCATTTTTGGGAAGCCAGCCTTTAGACAGTGTTCTGCTACTATAGCAATATCCCTAGGAGTGCATTCAATTTAGGCAGTCTCGTAAGAAAAAAAAAAAAATTTCCATCAAGACTTAGGAGATTTGCTAACGAGCATGTTTTGGAAGTGAATTTTGGAAAAAATAGTAGCTCTGATGACATCACACAGAGGTCTGGCAACAACCAGTGTACTTCATTTGTTTTGAGTGAGAGATCGAAGCTACTGCATCCCCAAGAGATGGTTTTGACTCCTAAGAAATAGCCTTTACATCCTTTAAATTAAGATTTTAAAAACCAAGTTCATCTGGCATTTCACAGATTTTTCAGATGGCAACTGTTGGGTTTCAAAGCACTTCTTTCAGAATAAAAACTGCTTGTAGTTTTTCTCCTGTGTGTTGGGCCTGCCTGAAACAAGTGGATGTCCAGGTCTTGAGAATAACACAGAAACCAAGACTCTGTGCAAGGCAGAGGCAGCAATTGCTGTGACCCTGCACAACAAAAACCCCAAAACTTTCTTCTTGACTTGTAACTACCAGAAGTCATAAAAAGATTTATTTTTCTAAATTAGTTGATTCACCTACATTAAATACCTCTCAGAAGAGAGGAGCAACACTCATTCCTCTCCAACACAGGCTTTGGAGATGACATTTCAAAAAAGGAGTAATAGACTTGGTTCTAGTTATTTTCATTGTAAGCATTACATGCACAAACACTTCAAGTTCTAATTAAAAAGCATCTCAGCTGTGTCCAAGTTGGGGGTTTTTTTTTGCTTTTTTTTTTTAAAATGCCAAAGAATTTAATTTAAAAAACATTTCTCCTCCCTCCCTCTGCAAGCTTTTTGGAGTGAAATAATCCTTTAATCTCACATGAGCTAGACTGTCCTTCAGTTCAAGCTTGGATTATTTTACAGATTTATCAAGTCTTCTCCATTTCACTGTGTTGTTTTCTCCCAGCTTCAATGTAAGATTAGTTTGGGGAAGTATATAAAGCTGTTTCCTGTGGGTGGATTATCGCAGCTATTTATGAATTTTTATGGTAACCTGATGCTGAACTTGTTTAGAGCAGACATCTTCCTTCCCACAGAAAATCAGCAGTTTTTGCCTCACTGCCCACTAGTGCTACAAATTAACAGGGTGAACATGGCAGCTGCAGGTGTCTGAAGGGAGGACAGGAGGACACAAACTCTCTGAAGATGATCATTGCAAATGCAAGTTTTCCACTGCAGCCAAGACGGTTACTCACAGATAATCTTTCAGAAACATAGTTCTGCTGCAAGTGCAGAAAATGCATTCGAACCAAGTAAACTTTTAATATCTGCTCCATTTTTGTTTCAGCATAAAACACACTTTTTTGTTCCAGGAAGTTATCCAAGAGAGAAAATCACCTTTTCCTCTTAAACTTTAATATTCAGTCTACCTCTTCATACAGGCACCAAGATACTGAGATCCAATCTTTGATAAAAAAAATAATAAATTGATAAAACACTTGGCATTTTCCTCCTTCTTCACATCTCTGAAATGCCAGTAAAGAACAAGATTTTTAAACATTGAGACATGGACAAGATAGTAAGATGCAAGAGAGAGAGAAGCAAATCATCTATTTCATACATTTATCACTCATCTTCCTCATTCCTTCGCCACGTCTGAATTGCCTGCTTTCCTGCAAAGTGGTACCAGGGCATCTTTAAGTAATCTAAAACTACCAGGTCTTATGCCTGGGTCTCAACTTCATTCTTCAAGGCACAGAACTATTAAGCATGTGCTATTTTTCTGAAAAAAGAACTCAAACATTAACTTCTTTATTTGCATGTGCCGTTTGGCCACACACAAAACATGTTTAGAGCAAAATTTGAAGACTGTCAGGTCACATTAGACTACTTTCTTACAAGTAAAGCAAAACATGTCCTGACAGAGTTCTAGTGAAAAAGAAGACCAGTTTGAAGAAAGTTGCCAAAACCTTAAAGAATAAAACCATAGCACAAAGTTAAAAAAAAAAAAAGCAGCTTTGTAAATTTGAGGGGGCCCTATTCACTATAGCAGTACACAACAGCTACCGGTTTCTTCTGATCGCTCTTTCTCTACTAGGAGCTGAAGTGCCGAACTGAAGGAGCAAGGCTGCTCAAGTGCATCCAGCTGCGTGGGCCACAACACCCCTACAGCCTCAGCATTTCTACTTGCGGCTGGTGTCTGGCAAGAAGAGACCTCTTAATGGAATAAAACCAATCCTACTGTCTACAAGTACACGACACCTCACTTCATCTGTAAATCCGTTGTCAACAGAGGGAAGGTACTGATAATTGGCGAGCAGCAGACAATGCAGCTTCACGTGTGCAGCTCAGAACAAAGCTGCACGCTGGCAAGAAATGACAGCCTTCAGCTGACGTCTTACTATTACCTCTTTCAGCAGAAATTGAAAATATTTCCTCTCCTTCCCCATTTCACATGATATCAGGTTTAGCATAGCAAACCTTGAAATGACAGCTTCAGAAAACAAAAAAAAAAAAAAAAAAGAGAAATTAAGTTCACATTTGAGTAATTTCCCAAAGTAGTTTATCACAACTTTGGGTTTTCCCCACTGGTATGCTACATCATGTTGACACAGTGTTGGCAACTATGAGAAGAACAAAGAGCGTAGGAATTCAAGGTACCACATCAGAAATATACCCAGGCTCCCATGGAGTGAACAAATGATAAATTTTGGAAAAAAACCACAGATGGCTATATCAATAGAGGGTTTCTGGAAATATTGTGGGGACTCTGTCCTTTCCCTTCAACTGCATGGTCCTGCTTATGCCATTAGTGTTCTCTTGAAACAAGCAACACTCAAGAACTATGAGCCAGTGATTTACAGCCAAGCACCAGGAGCATCCTTAGTCCTTCTTCAAGAAGAGTAAAACACTGACACCTGCTATGTATCGTTTACAAAAGCTTTTTGTTCTGTTCTGTGAAGAAGTAGCAGTGTTCGTCCACCTTTCATGAAAAGACATCAGCAGGGCCAAATCTGCCACATAAAACACACAACGTTCTTTGAATCTGCTATGTGTAGGGAGCAGCACCCAATTGCGCTCTGGCAGAAATGAATAGGAAAGACAGCCAGCCCAACATCAGCAGCCACCGCTTCCACTCCCCTTGGATCTCTGAGAGCAAACAGCTCCTCCCAGTCAAAATCCAGTTGTACAAAGAGTAACAGTGGCTCTACCGGAGCTGCATTCTCTGCCGTTACGGGCTTTGGAAAAAACCAAAGGTTAGCTATGCAAGCAGATGCCTTTCAGAGTTACCTTCCACGACTCTGCCTTGTTACCTGCTGGCAGCATCCCTCCTCTTTGAGGAACCTCCTCCCTTACTCTAGGAATGAGGACTTCTTCCAGGCTTATTTGCTTAAGTTTGTTTGGTGTTGGTTTGTTTCACTGCTAAATATCAAAACCTTGGCATGAAAATGAAGAATTATGAAACCATTTCAACAGTGTGTCAGGAACATCTACTTGTACGAATGAATTAAAACAGTGTTAACACAAAGTGTAACATACAAAAATTAGAACCAACGGGTAACTAAGTACTTCAAGGATGGCAAAACAGCTACAAAACCAAAAAAAGGTAAAAGGTTGCTGAATGCAGAATTAATCAAAGCAGCTTTTTGGTTTTTTACTATAATTTCAGGCCTACTTCCAATTTTATCCTATAACCTACTAATTTATTCCTCCCCCACTGATCTCAATTTCTCTTTCTGCCAGGTTTAAAACAACACTTGGAATTTTCTAGGGTTACACAATATCTTTGAGAGAGATGTTTGCATTGCTTATATCTAGTTTAAGTCCCACACATACTGTTTACTGCAATATTTGCCTCCTCTAAATACCTAAGAATTTGAAAAGGAGCCATTACACATCCATTATCAGAAGTGTGGATCTGATTTATGTAATGAAAGATAACGATCACATTCCAAACTTACTAGGGAGACGTAAAAACAGTAATAAAATATTTTGTGTATACACTGGATTGTATTTTACTCACAGGCATGAGGGCCCAATGTCATACATGATTTTTTCCTCCTCCTCCAGTGTTCAGCATTTTACAGGTCACAGAAGTGCTTTCTTGCATTTCTGCCAAATGAACTTAAATGCCTTTGGGTTTTTACCTACACCACTTTAGCTGTAGTCCCAGAATCTTTTTAATCCCTAAATCATGCCTAGGTCAATTCCCTGATGAGCCTCCAACCCATGATCTGACACTTTTTGACAAATACTTCAAGAGCAGAGAGCTAACTCAGACTAGTAATCAGCATGTTCAATACCAAGTGTTCAAGACCTGCTTGTTCCTCCTCAGAAACAACACTCTAACAGAAAAACCCTCCCACATAGGTTTTTCCATCCTACAGCCATGGTGTCATCTACAGCAGATCACCAATGTCTACTATCCTTTGCTTTCTCCCTTCTCTCATACCTCTCAAAAACACAATGAAATTCAGCCCCAGACAACGATCAAAAATGGTATTTCTTCACAGCAGCAATAAGCAGCTCTTTATTTAAAGAAAAAAACAGCTCTATCCCCAAATTCTAATCAAGTAAACACATCCTGTGGTGATCACCATTAACAGTTGGTACCGTTCAAACACTGCTTAAGGACTCTGAGGAAGAGCCACGTGTTAACGCATTAGCAAGGGATGAGTTGTTTGTTAGCTGTGCAGGAGAAGCGTGGTTCAGAGACCAGGCACAGAAGGGCCCAGACTTGTTGATGGGAGGGGAATACTGCACAAATTGGACTGTGTAGGTGAATGTTGGGTGGGGGAAAGGAGTGGGATATGAACAGAGTTTACCTAGAGACTGCAGTACAATGAGGGGAGGGAAGGGAGACAGAGATTATTCACCAAAACAGAGTCCTACTGCCAACTACCCCTTTAGGTATCACCTCAGATGAACCTCAGCTACTAGCACAGGATACCAGAGCTGCCTCAAGCGGCACTCTGCGACGCTGTAGCATAAAGGAACTGGGGGAAAAGCAGGGCCTAAGCTAGAAGTCCATGTGAGGGAACTGATAGAGATAAGGTGAAATGCAAATGAAGACACACTTATCAAAGAATTACTAAAAAGCAGAGGTTTTGAACTAGCCACACTTATTCTATGAAACTACTGCAAAACATTCCCAGACCTTCCAGTCAGAGGCACCTTTTTCATTACAAAATTAAAAAGCAAACCATACCCGAGTCAGAACATCCAGCTGTGCCATAATATGCTCCAAGGTATTTGTGAGAGAGATCTCCTCCGGTTGCTGTTGGTGGTTCCTACCAGAATCCTGAGTTTTTGTTTTCTTAAGATGAACACCACAATCCATTTCTGATTGCTAGAAAAATAAACAGACATAATCTGCTATTGCGATGCAAACAACTGGAGAAAGGTTTCTGTTTCATGAAGGGTAAACAGTAAAAACAGTTTATGTTAGGACAGTATGCTATTAAAAATGGACAAAGGAGAAAAGGAATTGTTTGTTCTTGCCGTAGCTGGAAAAGAAAAAGCTGATGCAGACTTGTATGCCGTCCCCAGTAGAAGGGGGTTTTTTGTATGCACGTGTGTTTGTGTTTGCATTGAAACCTTCATTGGGAAAGGCAAACCTTAGATAACAACCTTAAAGCAGTGCTACAAGGTTTAAATTTCCTAAGTGCAAAGAGCTTTGGCGTGCTCGTGTAGTACATAGACAGAGACCCTGCAGGTAAACGAAGACTTACTGGAGCCATGTGGAAACACTACATCCAAGTTGTAAGAATTAAGGAAGCTACCTGAAGAGGAGTCCAATTATCTCACTCCAACAGCGAAGCAGAAGCCTCTTCCCATGTTTGGAAGTTGTAAGAAAGCAAGGATGCTGTACTGCAGTCAAGTTCAGCAGTACGGCAAGATGTTCTCGTATGCGTTGAAAGAGGCAGTTTTGATTTAGTAATTTTAATTTTGTTTATATCTTGAACTGGTTTTCCCTCCTCAATGAGGTTAAGAACAAGTTTACTTTGAAGTTTCAATTTCAGCTGTTTTAGTTACGCAAGCTTGAATATTTCATTCGGAATAAATTAAGTTTTAAAAGCACAAATAGATCTCTACCAGAGGACTTAGTCCTTCCTTTTCTTTCAAAATGCTATCTTCTAGAACAAACACTATTTGCATTACCACCAGTAGAAGCAGTTCAGAAAAGTTTAACTAAACAAATCAGCCAACTGATGAAGCAACTGCAGACTTACGTTTCTCAATTTACAGTAACAGACAAGATTTGAACCTAAAGCCAAGATCACAACACTCAAAACTGAGTTCTCCACAGTCCAATGCCTGGTGCAACTTCACCCCATGCACTTATTACATAAGTGACTGAAGTTTGCAAATCAACAAAGCAGCAAAGACTTCTGACAGATTGAAAAAAAATAAAAGTGATCTCTGGAAGTTCTCCCACATGTACTTTTTCTAAGCAATAAAGAGTTTCCATCTCTTGTCTCATATATCCACTGCTACAAATGCAATTCTCATCAGCGCCGTTTTGATTTACCTGCTCATCTTTATATTTAGTGCCACGTGTACGTAGATGTGCAACTAAGCTACAATACCTTAAACCAGCTCATGTAACTAAACACAGAACCATTTAGTGCATTATGAAGATACACACACGTGCATATACATATAGAGACATATAAAAATTAAAAATATAGATATATAGATAGCCATATATACAAAAAAAAACCACAAAACTTGGGCTGCTGGGAGTCACTGATTTAGGCCAGAGCAAGGCCCCCCATGTTGAGGTCCAGTCCAACAGGGAAAACATCAATGCGAAGAACAGAAGTGTGACTACAGAGGGAATCAGAAAAGAGGCCACTGCAAGCTTTGACAGGAGAACGACTGGCTACTGTCCACTAACTAGCAAGGGTCAACCATTCTTCCAGACCCTGCCCACTGAATTATCTTCACACAGCCAAGCATCGTAACACGTTTTGTGTAAGAGGCAGGAAAGGAAAGGTTTAAAGGACACATATAACAACTGCTCCACCACAGGCATGGGATGCAGCTGGGTATCAAGTGGTACCAGCCACACCAGCCTCTGCTAATTTGCTTCTTCCCATTTGCAGGGATAATTTGGATTATCTACAGGCCCGAGGCCACCACAGCCCGCACTCCAGGTCCTATCACGCAGCCTCAGCATGCGAGCCACATTCAAACTACTCCTGTGCTGCAGGCAGCCCAAGAGCCACGTTGTTTGCTGATGCACTGACTCCATCAACCAAAACATGTTCTTGCAGAAATAAAGCCAGCCTTACAAAGCTGCTATTTGCTGTAACCCCCTAAAAACCCCAACACACAAAATACTGCTTTTCAGTGGCCAATTAGCATTAAAAAACACGTTTTCTCATTTTAAGGCTGACTATCCTATTTTGATGATGTAACTTTAGGCCAGTCAACTATGGCAGAACAGAAATCTAAGTGAGCTAACACTGCATACAACCTGCACTTAAAAACCCCAAATGATGATGAGCTATCCACTTCAAAACCCATTAGAACAAGCTGACTCACAGGAGCAGAAAAATGACTGTACCAACATATTTTCTCTCTCTATCTTTACAGCATATGTCAGACAGCTTTTCACCAACAGCTGCTGGGTTGAACTCAGAGTTGATATTCTCTTTGCTACAGTCCACAAAGTTTAAGACTCTGGCATATTTGCAAGGGTAATATTTCATAGATGTTTCCTTACCTGATGCTATAAGAGCCAGGTGGTTCCTCATCACGTCAGGTTGAAGCCAGGAGCAGCAGCAGATGTTTGTCACAGTTGCTACATCCTACTTGATCAGCTCACAGGCTACGGATTACCCCCATGACAGCCCAAGTAAGTCACCTCTACAAAGCCCATGAAGGCTCCTGAAGGCACTCTGAATGGTAGCAATGCCCCCATGAACAGAGGTGTATCTACACTGAAAACCAGAAGCATGATGGGCACACTGCCCCAATACAAACATCACAGCTGCTTGAACAGTTCCTTACAGCCCATCATCATCAAGAAGACAACCCATAGCTGGTGTCTTCAGCAATGAGGTTCTGAGTTAGTTCATCTGTCTAAACTAGAGACACATCCAGCCAGCAGGTAAAAAATGATGTCAATGTGTCATAGAGTGTGACTTCCAAAAGGGAGGCTTTCAACTGACCAAGGCTCTTTGAATATTTGGTTGTAGGAACAAACCCATCCTACCTACCTGTCCCTGTCACAGCAGGTGCAAAACACAAGTATCCACCGCTCACACCTACAGACAGCACTTTGAATCACTGCCCACAGTCAGGCAGAGAAAACAAGCCAGTTTGCTCTTGCCTCTTACTCATCCCACCTGCTCCGATGGCTTCAAGCTGCAATCTCAAGCCTGGGACCTGTCCAAGGCGGCTTCTCAGAGAAGTGCTCTGGAGCATTCAGAGGTTAACCCTGGATTTGCCCAACGCAGGCAGGTCTGGCACAAGGTGGAGCTCTCTGAAAACGTCTGCAAACTCAGCCAGACACACACAGAGACACTGCGAGCGGCAAATACAGCCCATGATGTACAGAATGGCAGAACGATAGCGGCAAAGGATCAGCTGCCAGCCAGCCCGGCCAAGGTGGACACTCACGCTGCTGCATCCCACAAAGGCACAGTGCTCTCCTTTTCACAGGTTAAAGCAGAGTGTTTCCATCCAGCTGGATCAGCTTCACTAGACCAGTTTCAATTCACGTTTTTGGAAGAGGCTGAGGGAGTCCACATAGATCTATTTGTATTGACAATCCTCAAGGCATGTCCCTCTGCTACCAAAAGCCTTGTGAACACAGGGCACCAGCGATAGCACAGCCTTCCTCCCATGGCATCAAAGAGAAAAACAGATTTACTCATTTACTTCATTTTTTAATCCGGCCAGGTTTTCATGCCAAGTCTCAGTTTTTCACAGTCAAAGAAAGCTTTGCCTGCTAAGAAATTACAGCCAGGACTTCACAGGGCATTTCGCAAGTACTCTAAAATCAAAACGGACACCCAGGATTTTGCTCGACACTACTTTCAGAAAGCTGTCAAACTTTCTGATGGGCGCAAGCATGCTGCTCTTTATGAAAAAAATGGAGAGAGACTGCAGTGCTCAGAGGGACAGGCTGTCTGCCATAAGCACCCACCTGGACTTCTGTCACAGTCCAAGTACAGCAGTGACACCAGTTCAAGCTGTGTTATAAAGGTAATAAGGTCACCTCTACAGAATCACCAATAGTTCCCAAATTTCACTACGAGATCCTTCAGGGAAAGCTTTGCCCTTTATATTTTAGCAAGATGGGAATGTTTGGAAACTTTCTGTTAACAGCCACACTACAACTTGTATTTACCACTAACTTAATGACCAGCACATTTGAAGCGAAATGTGTACCCAAGTGAGAAAGAACTGCCCCCAGACTGAAATCTTTCCAAATTTTGTGAAAGGATTAAATGAACCCGTTACTGCCCATAAGAATGAACAAGAAAACCTCTCGCAGATTAAACTACAGCCACCCATATCCTAATAGCAATATATATCATGCAGTGAGCCAGCCACCAGCAATTTAAATTCCTAACACTTTTTAAAAGCATTGTAAAAATATAGAAAGAGCCTTGAAATATGCATCAGCTTTGTGGCAATCTCAGTACTGATGAGCATCAGGGTTGCTGTGAGAGACACCTGTGCTCTCATCTGACTCACCTGCAGGGTAAAGCACCAGCTGAATCCTAGGGACAGGCACCAGAAACAGTTTCTGCTGCAGAGGTTTAAATTATTTTAGTCAGTTTAAATGTGCAATTTATTCAGTACAATGAAACAAATGTATTTGCCATTAAATATCTTATTACAACATCTGTGTATTAAGCACTGGGAGTATAGCAAGAAGCAGCTGAACATTAAAGGAAGAACAGATGAGCAGTTTCAGAATACAATACAGTTCTCAGTGACAAAAGGAAAAACAGAAGTGATTTATTTATAGCAACCACTTAAAGACAGCATAGTGCAACTACTTGGGGGAAGAGGAAAATTAATCAGCCTTCATTCCAGAGGTCTCTTGCTGAGCCACTTACAAAAACTGTTCTGGCTAAACAACATTCTGGTCAGCTACTACAGTGCTGATCAGGAGGTGGAGGGCAAGTATTAACTACACAACACATAACATCCGTAGTAAAACTGAACAACTGAAAAAAAAAAATGTCATTTTGCTTTCTAAATAGTGATGTTCAGAATATATATTGACAGGATAACCACTCATCTGAAATTTAACGTACCAGTAAAAAGTAGGATTCTTATAATCCAACCCAGAGGAAATAGTTCTTTCCTCTGCTCTTCACTTCT